AAAAATACCGCAAAAATACCGCAAGACTTTTTTGACAACCCAATATCATGTTGAGTGAGGCAAATTTTGTTATTAAAAGAAAAAAAATTGATAAAAAGTAATTACGCGTGTTGATAAGAAATTACCTTTTTTGTATTAACAGCCTTTTATTGGCAATATACATATACAGACACTGTTTTAAAAAACAAAGAATCATCATGGGTTTGCTATGCTTAGCTTAAACGTGGTGATATGAGCACCGAAAAGGTCCCACGCAGTGGATGCCTAAAAAAGCTTGTTACCAACGAAAATAACCAGAAAATAATTGTTGATCATATTAAARGGAAGTTGTACGAAATAGCAGGCACTCTTAAGATATTAATTGATAAATTGTAAAAAAAATGTAAATGTAAATTTTCTTCGAGTGAAGAGGTGATCGTGGAAACTGAGGCCTGTTTTGATGCAAAGAATACACCGCACTACAAAAATATTATCGAAAAGATGGTGCGTTGCTTTAGTAAAGACTTTTCCTTGAAAATGTTGATTAAAAAAAAAGAAGCAATTTTACCAAAAAAATATGCTTAGCTATGGCCGGCCGTATACTTTCCCTTTATGTAAAACTATAATTGCGCTAAAGGGATTGCCCTTTAGCTAAATTTTAACCAAAAAATTGCGATAAGACTTGTAAAATTTAATATTTGTTCTAAAAATTTTTAATACCTTTCTGTATGCCTATATATACAAGTACAACTCGSAGCAACAATTAGCGCCATCTATGTTTGTAAACAAGCATTTCGTACACAGAATTTTTGAAGAATATTATGATATTTTATTACATTAAATTTAATAAAAAAAATTGTATTAAATACTTCTTTAAAGCACTCTTTTAATAAACGATTTAGTGAAGACTGGTAAGAAATCAAAGACCTCAAAAAAATCGTATTTTTAATGATTTCGTTTGAGTTTTTTCTATAGCTAGTATTCTACTCGTAAAAAAAAGTGAAAATCCAACTCAGTTTTTCCTAAGAAATCGCTGTTGCCTCAAAAATTCTATTGTTGTTGTTTCTTGATACTACCAATGTTATACTAGAAATTATTCCAATATTTTTTTTTTTCTATATAATCTTTCTATAGAATCTTTGAAAGACTCATTTGCCTATTGATCTTGTTTCCTGTTTCGTTTTTCATTTGGAATATATAATAAACAAAAAGTAGTGTTGAACTGGATTAAGACGAGCGAGTAAGAATGAAATTTTTGGCGAATTCCCTGGGTCAATCAGAAACATAAATTTGCATTATTTTGGTAGTTAAAGAGACTGCTACGATATGAAAATTAATCAGAAAATGTGTAAAAATCAAAAACTATCGATAATTCTAGCTGCAGAAACATTTTCAAAACAAACGTTATAGTTGGTCGGAGTTATCTATACCGAACCCAGATATCGTAAAATTGAACACTGGTGTTAGCCAATCMAATAAAATAAAACAATTCTCAGAAAGTAATAAAAAAAAGAAATGAATAATAAACACGTTTGAAAAAATATGGTAGTAACAGAGCTAATTTAACTTGTTTTTGTTTTTGTTATCAGATTTCTTTTTTT